AGTAGCTGAATATTTGCTGAAGTAGCTGAATGTTTTTCTGAAGTACCTGAATGTTAGCAAAAGTAGATGAATGTTTTTCTGAAGTAGCTGAATGTTTTTTCTGAAGTAGCTGATTTTTTTTCTGAAGTAGCTGAATGTTTGTTGAAGCGGCTTAACGTTTTCTGAAGTGGCTGAATGTTTTTCTGAAGTACCTGAATGTTAGCAAAAGTAGATGAATGTTTTTCTGAAGTAGCTGAATGTTTTTTCTGAAGTAGCTGATTTTTTTTCTGAAGTAGCTGAATGTTTGTTGAAGCGGCTTAACGTTTTCTGAAGTGGCTGAATGTTTTTCTGAAGTACCTGAATGTTAGCAAAAGTAGATGAATGTTTTTCTGAAGTAGCTGAATGTTTTTCTGAAGTAACTGAATGTTTGCTAAAGTAGCTGAAAGTTTTTTCTGAAATAGCTGATTTTTTCTGAAATAGCTGATTTTTTTCTGAAGTAGCTGAATGTTTGTTGAAGCGGCTTAACGTTTTCTGAAGTGGCTGAATGTTTTTCTGAAGTACCTGAATGTTAGCAAAAGTAGATGAATGTTTTTCTGAAGTAGCTGAACGTTTTCTGAAGTAACTGAATGTTTGCTAAAGTAGCTGAATATTTGCTGAAGTAGCTGAATGTTTTTTTCTGAAGTAGCTGATTTTTTCTGAAGTAGCTGATTTTTTTCTGAAGTAGCTGAATGTTTGTTGAAGCGGCTTAACGTTTTCTGAAGTAGCTGAATGTTTGTTGAAATGACTTAACGTTTTCTGAAGTAGCTGAATGTTTGTTGAAGCGGCTTAACGTTTTCTGAAGTAGCTGAATGTTTGTTGAAATGACTTAATGTTTTCTGAAGTGGTTGAATGTTTGCTAAATTAGCTAAAGGTTTGCTGAAGTCCAAAGAGCTGCAAAAGGCACTACAGTGAGTTTAGGTCTGTGTCCCCTCAGGGACATCTGGTGTTGCAGGGGTCTCCTGATGAAAAGTAGCCGAAGATGCTGACCAGAGGGAACATGGTGACGGCTCCCAGCAGAGAGCCCAGCTGCACCACGGCGCCGCACCACACCAGGGCGCTGTGGCCTTCGTCTCGCAGGACGAGTCCAATCATCACCTTCACGTAGGACAGAGAGAGGACGAAGACAATCCAGGACAACACCTGAGGGACAGAGACAACTCTGGCCTATCATTTTATCATGTCAACATTCACACAGTTTAGGTTTTTGTTTGTTCTTTTTTAGCTGTTTGAGTATCAAAACATTCGGCTCATTCTGGAGTCTGCTTTTCTTTTTTAACTTTAGTTTTAAATATTATTCTTATAGAAACACGAGAAAAAGTCATTTAGAACTTTTTTCACACTAAAAATCTGTTTCAGCTGCTAACTCTGCTGTTAGCTTCTTATGCTGCTTTAGCTTTTAGCTATCTTTTTGCTGGTTATAGCCTTTAGTTATCCTATGGTAAACGATTGATAAGTTTAGCTTTCAGCTAACCTTTTGCTGCTTAGCGTTTTGCTAGACTGATGCTACACTTAGCTTTCAGTTGRTCRTTTGCTTATTTTAGCTTTTAGCTAAACTGGTGCTACTTTACCTATCCTATGGTACAATTAGRTTTTCAGCTTCTTGCTACTTTTAGCCATCCTTTTGATGCTTTTTGCTAAACTTTTAGTAAACGTTGCATTTTTAGCCTTTTTCTACCCAAAACTTTTAGCTGCCCTTTAGCTTTTATCGACTTTTAGTAAACTTAGAATTGTTAGCATTTTGCTACTCTTATCTTTAGTTGTTATTTTGGCAGATTTAGCTTTCATCTATCTCTTTGCTACTTTTAGCTAGCTTTCTTATTCTTTCAGCTATCCTTTTGCTAATTTTAGCTAGCCTTCTGCTACTTTTAACATTTTGCTAGACTTTTAGTCAACTTAGCATTTTGCTACCCTTAGCTTTTGTCTGTCTTTTTAGCAAATTTAGCTCTTAGATGGATTTTTGGTAAACTTAGCTTTTAGCTAGCCTTTCAACTGTCGTTAGCAGTTAGCTTTCAGCTCAGGCTGATAGMAAAAGTGTGTTCTGATTAAAAACCACAGAAGAAGAGTTGAGCTGACCATCAGAGCAGCTCCTGAGGTCTCGTAGACCATGGGGGGACATGGACTCAGGACCGCCGTGGTCATGATGTAGGCTCCGACTGCACTTCCTGTCAGCGTGAGGACACCCAGGAAGCTCAGAGACCTGCAGACACAGTAACTCCAGATTTAACAAAATAAAACATCTGCTGCAAACATCTAGAATTATTCTCTTTATTTCAAAATAAAACTTTAAATTTGAACCATTTCAACCCAAAGCTTCTGTTTGTTTAAAAACAGATTTAATCATTGAGTTAAAGCAGAGTCATGAGTGGAGTTTCAGTATTTAATTAAAGATTAAAGGATAAAAGAAACAAAACGGCTGAATGTTGGAGTTTAGCCTCCCTGTCATTAATTAATTAAAATAAGAACGTAACAGTTTGTACGGGATAAAACTTGTGCCAGCAGGAAGTGAATCTGAACGCTTTGGTTTGACAATAAATTTCACTAATTTGAAACTGAATTTAAAGTTTTGTATCTGAATTAATTTTCTTTGAAACTGTATTTTGGTTTATTAAAAATTCAGTTTGACTACTTTCACTTTCAGTTCCATAATTCAGATGTTTGTGTCACATCCTGGTCCTTGAGAAAGCCAGGCAGAGTAATCAAACACACACACACACACACAC